ATGACCCCAGCTTACTGCCTACCCCTTGGGCAGGGGGCTGGACTCGAAGTGAAGGGGATTATTGGAGTGTGTGCGTGCACAATATAAACTATAATTTGACATATATATTTTCAGTTGGCCATGAAAATGTTTGGGTTTTGAGGGGGTGGGAATTTCCCCTTTTAAAGAGAAGTTGCACAGATTATTTTTATCCTTTCTTTGGCTCTCTTCTTTCTTAATTCAGTGTGTGTGGGTGGTTGTACGTGCATGTGGAACTCCCCAACCAGAAGGAGCCAATGTGGTCATGGGAGAGAAGTGAGAGCATGCGTCTTTCCATCTTCCTCATATGGGGGAGATATTTTGGGGATGAAGGAGGAACACGGTGAACAGATATGTTGCCATCCTAATTTCTGTGGATTGGTAGAGGTGAATGAGCAAACAGGGGCCTTTTACCTCCTGGCAACACGGGTGAAAATCTAGCCCACATGCCTCCGTGTTATTCATCTGGGAGTAGGTGGTGTAATTGCAACAAGTGCCGTCTTGGTCCTAATAGATCTGTCCATATCACAAAACCCACTGCAGTTATCGAGCATGGCCCCCTTTTGCAGGCGTTCTGACCAGAGACGCCAAACCATGGATTGGTTATGGTGACCAAATTGACCAGTCTGCCCCTAGGTGTGAGCCGGTCCAAATCGTAGTGTTTAAGCAATGACGGACCCAGAGCTGTTTGGCTTATGGGTATAGAGAGGCTTCCGGCCGCTACCTTTCTGGAGTATCAAGCTGGCTTTGAATATTTTTGCTCATCAAAAATCTTTTGCCCCTTCAGCCGCACCAACTCTGCAGTTCAATTCTGATCACTCCTGAGAGCAGGTCGAGTCTGTAAGGGTTAACCTGAGTAGCAATGCACTGTGGTGTAATTTTTACAGATGGTGTGAGTGCAAGAGCTAACCTCATACTGTCTTGGCAGCCTGTGGAGATAACTTTACTTAATTCCCTACAGATGTTGCTATAGAATGGCTTTAATAACGAACTGTGAAGTTGGGCTAAAACAGAGTAAATACATAGTTTTTAGGCTGCTTTAAAAAAAACTGAGTCTCCTAACAATGTTTGCAGTGATTTTTATACTTTCGGGGGCAGATGTCATATTGCACCACCATTGCCCCAGCTTTGCTCAGCTGAGGGCTACTTTGGCCCCTTGCCCAGTGTTCACAAAACCCATATAACTTGCATAAAGTGGGTTAAATAGCAGCCGTCTTAATTTCTCTTTCTCATAAGGCAACACGGCCCATGAGAGCACAGCCCCAGCCCCACGTGGCCCATTACGATTGAGGCAAAATGTTGCCTTTTGGAACCCGTGGCTTCCCGCTCGTAGACTGCACGGGGAAACGTGATTGCACTTCATCTACCTTCTGGCTCAGGGGCTGCAACTTCTTCCCAGCATGGGTCATAGCTGAGATGTACCATTGCAGTTTCATAGGCCGTAGGGCTGGAAGGGACCTCACGAGATCATCAGGTCCAGCCCCCCGCCCAAAGGGCAGGCAGTCGGCTGGGATCGGAGCACCCCAGCAAGATGAGCATCCAAGTGTGCAGGTTGTTGACTTGAAAGCAAGCAATAGAAGTGCAAGTTCTTCAAGAGATCACACACCATGCACCTAGGCTGCCATTTTGCTGCTTTCCAGCCAGGAGGAGGCAGCTGCCCATATTTTTATAGTTGTGTAGAGCTAAGCTGTGTGGTTGAAAGTAGGGGTTTATAGTTGGCAATCTTGTTCTTCCTGAGGAGCTACCTCCAGAAGGACAGCATGGCTCCCATTAGCCACCGCTAGCCCCTGCACGTATTCTGCAGGTCTTGCTGTAGGGGCGACAGCCCTCCTCACACCCCTGTGCACACCTGGAAAGGCAACCGGCTATGTTTTATGAGCAAACCATGTTTTCATGGGAGTTATGGGGCTAGGATGCCACCTGTGCATCTGTTACTGTTGTCCACCATGTGCTGAAAAGCTACTTTGAAAAGCACGAATGAAATGAGTTTTTACCACCCGCGTATAGATTTGACAGTCTTCAAAGCAGAGAAGTATTTGCAGCGAGGATGATGCAGGGGCTATGTATGAAGTATACGGCTCTGAAACTACTAAACCCTTGTTCTTTGAATGGGGTTGGGTTGCTTTGGTTTCCTTTCTTTTAAGTCTCAAATGGATGTTGACCTGTAAGACGAGCTCAATTTTCTTCCTGCTTTTTCCCAGGGGCCTTGCAGTGGCTTGTGGGTGATATTTAGCAGCACAGATGCCTATTTGGAAGCTTTTTAGTAGAAAGCTGCTCTCGGGGGCACTAACTGCAGCGCTGGTCCAGTTCGGAGGAATTTACAAGCTCGGGGCTGAGGCAGTGGAAGTTGTGAACTTGCTCAACTGAACGGAGGGGCGGGAGAGCAGCCTGAGCTTTGAGAAGTGTAATGCAAGGCGCACCGGCTCAATCTGTGCTGCGGCAGAGAGATCCAGCACTCGAAAGCAAAGACTTCTGCCATAATTAACTCTGCCAAATTGCGTACGTGAAGTGGAGCCCAGCCCTCTGCGCAACTGCTTTAATTTGCGGCTGAGAAGGGTTATGTAAACTCTTCCCGTGGAGCATCAGCTGAAGGTTGACTTCACTCCGATTTTCGTGCTTTTAACTCTAAATGTCTGAGAAGCTCCATTTGCTGCCCATGTCGACACGCTCCTGCTAAAACGCAAGGGCCGCCGTGGAGAAGTGTTTGAGGAACTGTTTGGCAGCTTCTGTTCTTTGCTTGCCATGGGCGTCATGTCAGGAGAATCTACCTCCTGCCGAGGAGGAATAACTAAATTTAAACTCTCCACCCAGAAACATTGTAAAGCAGTTTTCAAATCATTTTGGGGCCAGAAAATGGAAATCCAGGCCTGTGAGGTTTGAGAGCAAATAGTGCTACACAGCAGCTGTGGGATGCCTGGCTGGTGAGCGCCATTACCTGTAGTATAATGGAGATCCAGATCTTTGGACGAGAAAGATGCCAGTTTCTTCATGCATCTATTTCCATCCCTTGGGTAAAATCTCCCATGATAAACTGGAGCTGGATTTGGCAAGGGTAACATTTTAGCCCACGTGTTCTCCTCTGCATCGCTTGGTGCCGCCTCCTTCTCATCCAGCCCGTCGCAGTTATCAGCCATTCCCAGCATTGGGAAGGCAAGGAGTCCTAGTTAAACTGTAAGCTCAGCAGGGTGGGAGCCGTCATGATTTATGTTCAGGGCGCAGCACAATGGAGCCCAGATATCTGTAGGGGCTTTTTATGGCCCCTGTAAGGCAAATGCTTTGCAAAAACAGAAATTTTAAGAATTGTTTTGAGATATTCCAGCGGAAGATGGGCCAAGGGGTAATAGTCTTACCTCCTAAGGAGGCTCTAACTAGAGTGTGTAGTTTTAGTAGATAGGGTGGTTTGGATAGGGATGATCCTGCCTTTGGCAGGCGGTTGGACTGGATGATCTCCAAACGTAGGAAGGGACCTTGCTTTTCAATGATGCTGGAGCAGTGACTCTCAACCAGGGTACCATGGCACCCTGGGGTGCCTTGCAGTCCATTTAAGGGTGCCACATAACGTTAGCACTGTTTGGAGTCCAAGCATGACTCGCAAGATGAAAGCAGTTTTCACATAGGGGTCCATAGTGTTAAAAATCATTCTTACCTGTTGTGGTCTTTTAGAGGTCTTTGGAACAGAATTTCCCTAGTATTTCTCTGGAGTCAAAAAAAGGAGGGAAAAAAAAAAAGTTGAAACTAAGAGCTAGCCGTTTCCAAGGGGTTCCTTGAGTATGAAAAGGTTGAGAGTGGCTGGTCTAGAGTACCATGCAGATCATAATTCATTTTCATAGCATCGGAATCTGCTGTGGGATTTGTATCTATTGAGACGCAGCACATTTTTGTTAGGGAGACGGCAGTGTCTCATGACTGCAGGAGGGCTTTAATAGTATGGTATCTGTTCCTAACCATTATGTAGCATTTAATTACTTTTGTGTTTTACTGCAGGTCTCGGCTCCTGTTGGGACTTGGATGCAGACTGGTCAAAAGAGCTTATAGCCTAGTCGAGTATGCAATAAAGAAACATAACAAAACAAGGAGGAGTTGGGCATGGAAGATAGCAATAGTGGTGCTAGGGATATGCCCAGTGCAAATGTGGGATGTCAAGGACGTGTACATTTAATTATGAGATAGATAGAGAGCTCTCCTCCAATGATTCTCTACACAGTTGCTAGTCATCGGCACTTCTGCGTAGGTGCTATGGTAAAATCAGGCGTTAAGGAGAAGCTGGAGATGACTTGGAGTCGGTGTGTGTGGACTGAACCCAGCCCTGAATATATGGGTGACCTGTGTTTAATTCATTTGACCTGCCAATGTGCCTCCATTGTCCCCATCTCCATAACATACAGCGCTGTACAATACCTCCCAGGATGCAGTATTCATTTGGTGCTGGCTAAGCGCTCTTGGATCCTAGGCAGCAGTAGAAGCTCCTGAAATGTTAAATTTAGTTTCTGAAGTAGGGTTTTTTTTTTTTCTTCAACTAAGCACTGAGGTTTGGGTCATTGCAACCTCCTGATTTTTATTCCACATTCCTCTTTGGGCAACAATTTCTTGTTTCTCTTTTTTTTAAAATGCCTCATGCTGGCATTCAGTGCAACTCAGATGTGTTGTAATAGAGAATCTGTTTGTGATAGGTTTCTGTGGCTAAGGTGGACGGGACCAAGCTTTGGAGCTACATCCTTTTCTGACCCTGCTCTTAGATTTCCCCATGTGGTCTTTGCATTGGGGAATTCTGCCTTCCTTCATACCCTACAGAGGTCCTCTGACAGCAGATGCTGCTGAAGCAGTTCATATTGTTCTTGGTGCCCGATTACTACTTGCAGAAACATAATGGATAGCCAGCTTCCCAGTAGGATCCGATGCTAGTTGGAGGTTGATGGGTTTATTCTTTCCACTGACTGTGTTTTTTGTTTTTTGTTTTTTTTTGTCTTGCTTCCTCATTTCAGGTTGGTGGTTTGTGAGCACAGCAGAAGAGCAGGGCTGGGTCCCTGCCACGTACCTAGAATCCCAAAATGGAACGAGAGATGACTCTGAAATAAACACATCCAAAGCTGGGGAAGGTATGACTTTTTTGATACCATGAGGAGATCTTAAATTGGGAGGCTTGTTTTAGAAAACAGACCTCTTGACCAACGCAGTGCCCCTGAAGAGTGATTGCCATGACTGTGTATGCGGTGCAGTTATTCATCTCATGCACCAGGTATTTCTGCTTTCTGGAAACAGCCAGATATGCTGCCATTGAACTCAGAGTTGGGTCTGAAGCCGGTCTCCCTTCTGCTTTGGCCGAATAAGGCTGTGAGCGTAAACGGTTGAAAAGCAAAAATGAACTTCCTTTGTTAATGGTAGCCAAGGATGTCAACTGAAGTACGCTGAAGGCCTTCATGGTCTGAGCAGCATGTGATGCTGCATATTTTGGATAGCCACATTATTCCCTGATGAAAGAGAGGTCGTCCTGTGGAGCAGCTCCCATAATGAATAGACGAACCCTTGCCTTTTGTTTCGAAGAGAGAGGTCTCTTGACCCTGCTGATTGATAATTCGAATGTACAAGATGCTTAAGTGAGGAGGGGGACACGATCAAATTCTACTCCTTGCCTTTTTAACAGTTCTCCCCTCGACAAGAAATTTAACACTTCCACATTTTATTTAAAAAAACAAACACAACTATCACTTGAAACTGGTTACGCAGTTGTTCACTTCAGCTTGGGATTCTGGGCAGAGGGTACATCTATATTTAAACCGTCTCGCCCTGCTGAAGCCGGGGTGTTGCTTCTCATGGTAAGAAATGAGCTTTTTGTGCGTGTTTTAGCTGCAGTATTTTTGGCAAGGGTGGTGCGAATCAGGTCCCAAAACGGGGTAGTACAATTTCATGTCTGTTCTCCTCTTCCATTATGAAACCTAACCACATTTTAATGGAGTGTTCACGCGGTAACTGTGTACAAAGGACGCTGCTTTTTATTAGAAGTGACTCTGTTGCAAGGAATGCATCGCTGTAGGCGCTGGGTGCTCCTTCCATGGAGGTTCGGAGACAGACGTACGTGGACGCATGGCTGTCCTCCATCCTCTGCCTTCATCCCCTTATTTGAACATAGTATTGGAGCGAATGCAGCCTGTCCATTTAGAAACGCACGCACGTGCAGTCTCGTATGGTGGCTCTACCACATCTGTGGTGTATCCCAGTCTCTCCTGCTTCTGTACTGACACTTTTTCCTGGTTTAAGCTAGGCCTCTCAAAGGTCACTTAGTACCTGTAGACTAAGGCTGTGATCCTGAAATGGAAAGGTATTGGATAAGAAGCTAGTGAACCTCACTGATGTGATTATTTTATTTATCACCATCAGCAGATGAAACTTCTCAGTAAACAGAGCTACATTGTTCTCTGAACAAAAACTCATGCTCTTCAGAAATGAAGTTCAGACACCCTGCATCTTTTTTGTTCTGTAATCCCTGCCCCACGTTCTTTCCTCCAAATCCATGCTGGATGTTAAGGCCTTAATGGCTTAAACCTTTCATGCCCTTGACTAATTTCTAGGTATCCTCCTTCATCCTTATTACCCCTTGTAACTTAGGTCGCACCAAGTTGCTGCCATATGGCATATCCAACCCTGGGGCACAGCTCCCTCTCTGAACACTTCTTTTATTTCTCCTTGCTGTCAGTTCATTGTATTGCTCTCATTAATTATGCCTAGCCCTACTGTCTGCCTTATTCCAGAACTGGATCTGTTGAAATTTAAGACCGTTCCCTTTCATTTTGGTCTCTGTTCAGTGCCCGTGACAAATATAATTACATTATCTGTGGGGCTGCTTTTGAAGTGCTGCAGATCACACACTCACTCTCCATTTTCAATAGCTTCCTTTTATGTCATTAACTGCAGAATCAGAGACTTTTGTTCTTTTTTCCCCGCTTCTATTTCATATGTACTGGGGCTATTCTTCCCATTGTGTCATAGCCAAATGGCTCTATTAATTATTAGCATAAAAGAACATAGTAGAGGTATACAAATAATGAAGTACAGGGAAGGGGAACGGGAGCTTCAGCATGCACTTGTCTTATGATGGATAAATATGAAGACATCCAGTGAACCGAAGAGATAACTAAGTTAAAATTGATAAAATACCTCAACAATTCATCACTGACCTGCAGATATTGTGCGTGTTGCAAGATACCCTTGAGGTCAAGAGCCTGGGATGTTTTAAAAATCTGTGCAAAGGAAACTAAGCGCTCGGTTCCCAAAAATATTGGGAGGGCCTAAGCCAACCACCAACTAACAAGTTAGTGCGTAGATGGTTAATGCCATAATTGACCACTATGGGACTTCTGGTATCTGCCCTTTGAATCCTTTCAATATTGGCTACAGATGGAGACAAGAAAATGAACTTAACAGGTTATTTTAAGAACAAGAAGACACTGAATGAAAATTTGCCGGTAACGCAAATGCTTTGAGATGACATCTAATCTGTTTAGACTGCCTTAATTCACTTTTTCTCAAATCCTTGGACCAGCCTTGAGAGTTAAGTGCTGTTCTTCTCATATTAAAGATGAGGAAACTGAAGAGGTTTTGGGACACGTTGGAGCCTACACAGGCTTGCTGTCAGAGTCAGGATCAAAGCAGCCTGTTGGGATTTTTTTTTCAAAATTCTTGGTTCATTGCTCAGACCACGAGACAGCGCCTCTCTCCTGGCATTAATGACGAATATTCCAAAATAAATCAAAGAACCTGCGTTTTCAGCCGCACAGTATCATGGAAGTAAATAACATGAGAAGATTTTTATTTTTTTTTTAAAGGTTTAGCCAGTTGGAGAGGAGTAACATTTTACTATGAAGGAGTGGCAAAATGCAGATCTTGAACCAGACGTCAGAGTTCAATGCCGTTCAGAAGCCGTCTTGTGGTTTGGACCCACTCTGAACTCTTATACTCCACAACATACACGTATTATCACTGGGCATTGGAAACAAATGTCCCCTGATGTAGAGGGTTTTCATACCTTTTTTCCACATCGCAGCTGTTGTGGAGCACTGCTGGAGATGCACATGCTGTAGTAGATGGAGTGTAGAGTATGGTCTGTCTGTCTGTTCAACCAGTATCTGAATCGCTCTTAAATCTGTAATCTTTCCCCCCACCCTCCAAATTGTATCCTAGCATGCTTTTCTCTGTTTAGGTGCTCTCAGCCCTATCCTCAGCATAGTTTGCATTAGTATTTAATTCTGACAGTAGTCCACAAGTCTGCAGAATCTGTCTCCATTCCCTTGGTTATGTTTCTCTTTTATAATTATAGCAAGATGAAAGTTTTCAGGCAAGGTAGTGTAGACCGGAGAACTTCCCCCTAATTAAAACAGTGGGGAAAATGACAGAGCCGGGTGGCAAGACGGCTATTGTCTGCTGTCTAGGATCTGGCTGTAAATCCCTCATTTGAATTCCCGAGGTGGTTAATTACGTTACAGAAAGGGGAAAAAAAGCTGACTGACTTAGTTTTTAGCCAAAAAACTATTGGCCTGCAGCTCCAACTCTTTCCAATCAAGTTCGTTCTCTCCAGAGTGTGGAGCTCCTCCCTTCCTTTCCCTTCCTCCTCTGGTCCCTACCACTCCTTGCTTCTAAATGAAAGTTTCTTGGCTTCTAACAACGTGCCCTTACATGGAGGACATCGACCCCTCTTCCAAGGTTAAGCATGAGCAGAACGTTGATTCGGCATCTGGACCTTGCGGTGCTCCGGGATCCCTGCCCCTTTCCCTGTAGATCTGCCCTGGAAAGTGCAGAGCACCTGCATACTCCCGGTGAAGCTAACAGGAGCTGTGCAAGCTGACCACCTCTCCGCATAGCTGTGTACCTTATTTCATACTGTAGCACACAGAGACCTCCTGAGCTTCCAAGGCCCCTTTCTTGTGTCGTCCACCCGCAGCTGGAGTGACGCACAGGAGAGAGATGTAACGATGCTGTAGCAGGGATCCATTGGAGTTTCCTGTCCCGGTTCTTCCAAGTATTAGCCTGCCTGCTGCTTGCTCCTCCTCCTGTTTGTGAGAGCACAGCGTGTGAGAAGGTGCAGTGTTGCTTGTCGGCTTTTCAAATCGGTCACGAACAATTGAGACCTTAGTACTTTCCCTTGCTTCTCATGAGCAAATGTATTCCCGTTTTCTCTACCACTTTCTGGATCCCCTTGAAAAACTGTGCTGTCCACAGGAGAGAGTTGTTACAAGATGTCCCTGATCTGATTTATACACAAACATTACAGGGCACGTCTACACGAGACACTAACTGCACAGTAGCCTAATAACACTGCAGTAGCATGCCGGGCAAAAACCGTGCTAATACACTACTGCGCATAGTATTAGGCTGCTGCACAGTTAGTGTCACTAAAAACCACGTGCCGGTGCTACTGCGCAGTAGCATGAGTTACTGTGCAATGATTTCGTACTTGGTTATCCAAGTACTAAGCGCATTAACTGTGGTGCATTAATGAACCTGTGGATGCACCCACTGAGTACCAGGTAAAAGCTTCAGACATGCTGACGTACTTTTTGAAATGTAAATATGACCCAGTCACTTCCTTTTTTTGAGAATTTTCTCCAGTTTTGGTAAGCTCCACTGCTGCTGTGTTTGCACTTCTGCACTAACTGTCAGCAACGTAACCACTCACAGGAAGGAGTACAGAATACGCCTTGCATACCTTATTTGTGACACCTTTGGGTGTCTTTTTTAATAGCTGCCAAATCAGCATGACAGCCCCCTTGTGAAAGGCCAAGACTTGTGCCTTGCCATTTCAGCCCAACAGCTAATTTCTGCATTGGAATTGGCTGTACAAAAGAGCGAATTGAAGGATGTTTCCATGCGTGCGGCTTGGTAAGCAAAAGCTTCCAGCTACTCAGACAATCAGTGTCCTCTGTGCACAGCTATTCGAACTATGTCATAGTCACAGCTGTCTTTTTTTACTTTGTTTATAGTTTTTAAAGCATAAGCTATTGTTACCGAGTGTGAAACTAATTCTCAGCTCTAGCCTGTTAACTTCTTGAACCCTTTACCTTCTTAAAGAAATATGTTTCTTTACTGATGATTTGGGGCAAGTGTGTGTGGCGGGGGCGGTTTCCACAACAGCAATTAAAGATGGTCTCAGGCTGTGGGGTATTAATCCAAAGCCAATGTTTCAAACTCAATCCAAATGGGATGATAGAGCAGGAACCCATTTTAAAACTGGTGGTGAGAGAAGCTGATTTTTTTTCTTCACAGCAATCTCTTCCCTCATGCTGTCTTTTGCTGTATTAGGCAGTATAAGCAGCAAGTGAGAGTATTTGCTTCCTGTGCAAATTTTTGCAGATTGAGTAGAAGAAAGCCTTTCTAGCTAGTGTCCTTTTGTAGCTCTTCGTTTCGTAGCCTTGCTTGGATCACTGGCTAACCTTGTAGCATAAAAAAACCCCAGTCAGTGCTTAGCTGGCAAAGCATTGATTTGCAACCAATTTGAAAACGAGACCTACCAAATGCTCAGATGCTTCTGGGTTGGGGTTTTTCTTCAGTCCATTTCTGGGGCTCAAGAAGTTACTGCATTTCTTGTACTGTATAAACTAAACCCCCAAGTTTTGGGTTTTTTTATTTTTAATTTTTTTTTTCATTTCACCTAATTTGTCCTTTCTAACCAGACCAGTGCTTGTAATTGTCATGTTTTATTTTCAGTCCCCTGCCCCTCCATCATTGTTTCTTCTTTTCTTTTTTCTTTCTCTCGTTATGTTTCCATCCATGTTCCAAACTAGTTTCTAAACGACGCAAGGCTCACCTGCGGCGCCTGGACCGGCGATGGACGCTGGGCGGGATAGTCAACAGGCAGCAGAGTCGAGGTGAATAGCTTTCCAATGGCACGATCCCCTTAAGGGCACCAAAGCTGCGCTGCTGCTGCTGCTTCTCCTGTTCTGCTTTGTGTCAGGAGGGAATGGCTGGCATTCGATTAGAACTCGGTTCTCTTTGTCATGATAAAGATGGGTCCCAGCTTTGAAATTCAGGTGTGGATTTCGTGTCTTGAAGTGTGAGGGTATTTCAGTGCCACGGGTCTGGCTCAGCCTGCTCTAAAAGCCAACAGCAGGCCCTAGGTTTGGAGCCTGACACCTGGGGCAGCTTTGAGGGCATTCTCATCCGGTGCTTGCTTGAGGCCAGTCTCTGCTTGCTTGTTTGCAGGCTTGAGTTTAGGAACAAGGCACAGTGAGTGATGCAAAGGCCACAAAAGGTTTGGCTGGCATGAACAGCTGGCAGCTGCCTCAGATACCATCTGAGAGCTTGGGTTTGGAAGGTCCTTACGTTGATGTCTGGTCCTCCCAGTCGCCTGGGCTGGAAACCACTTGGGCCCACGGCTTCAGAGGTTTCCCTAAAGGATGGAGAAGAGAGGACTGTCGCAAAGATTCAGCCCGGGTTCAAGGCAAAAGCGGGTCGCTGGAGCCTGGGGTGATTCTTCTTTAGTCCTTCCCGTGCTTGGCTATGGGAATTGGCAGACTCGGAATAAGAGAAGCTGATGAAATCACCAAGTTCGTTCCCTAAAGATGAACGCCTCTTTGGGATAGTCCTGACCCTTGGTATCAGCCGAAGGCACTTACTGGGGTAGGGACTGTGGATTTTTCTGCTGTCAGCTTGGAATGGTGATCTAAGCTTGAGATGCCCTTGGCCTGGGAGTAGAGCCAAATCCCTGTACGATTACGCCTATCTTACTCATAAGTAAATCAATCGGTTCATCCTCCACATACAGACACATGCAGGTGGAGAGGGAGTGGGAGAAATTAATTTTGTCCAGACGATGCCAGGCCTAATTCTGTGAGAGGCAAGGGTTTAACTGGACACTACCTAGTATTAGACCAACTGCACAGTCGGGTAGAGTTAGGCAAGCTTTCCAATGCAGGATGATCTCCGTCGGGTCTGAGACCAAACCCAGACCTGATGGAGAATGTCTTGCATTTGAGACCTTGTCTAACTATCCTGACTGTGCAGTCAGTCCAGTAAAAGATGCCACCTAGAGAAATCCTTGCCTCTCATGTAATTGCTGCATTATCGCAGGTATATAATTCAGGCATTCTTTCTAATTTCTGAATTTAAAAAAAAAAAAAAGGCAAGTTAGAAAAACAAAGTCGGTTGCATGGTGGTCGCAACCCCCTGGCTTAGCTGCAGCTCTGAAACCCTGCTATCAGCCTCCTAGACCCCTTCCTCAGGGACCGGCGTGTGGTAGCAGGTCCTCATCTTCTGCGTGCACCAGCACTTTGCCATCACATTTCATAGATGTTTGCCCTCGGAGAAATGGTGAGATTTGGGGAACCGGGGCTTGTGTTCCAGGTTGTGGAAGGGGGCATGTTGTTTGTGGTTTTTCAGTAGTCCCCGACTCCTCTGCCCGTTCCTTGCCCCCCTGCAGAATGATCTTGACCCTGTCCGGCTCTCCGCACCCCCAACCAAACTTTTCCTGTTGCCTCTGTCCCATCTCCTCCTGGCTTTGGTCTTGTTCTCCTCAGTCCACCCCATAATGCACGTAAGCTTCTCCCAGTCCCAGCTTCTTGGCCTGGCCACTTGCAAGCTACCCCTGCTCCTCACCCCATCTGTGTTGCTCCATCCTTCCTGCTCCCGTCCATGGTTTTCCTGCCACCAGGTTCCCAGTGCTAATATCCTTTCCTGGGTTCCTTGTCCAGCCTCAGTGTCTTAGCCCCCATCCGCATGATCTTTAAGCTCCTTTTTCCCAGGCTCCTTGTCCAGCCCATCCCAATCTCTTCTTGGGCTCATTGCAGTAATTCTTTTCTCCAGACCTATCGTCTCCCGGTCCCTCTGACTTCTCCCTCTATCAGCCTCCAGTCCCACTCTCTTCCCTGCCCTTGACTCCTTGTCAAAATTTTGCTCTCCTGGCACTGCTCCACAGGTCCAGCTTTTGTCCCCATGGCCGTTGAATTCAGTGTTTCTTAATTCCCTGCAAGGCCTGGACAGTAATGGGGTCATTTGGGGCACAAGAGAAACAGTCTCCCTGTTCTTAGGTCAAATGTCCAGACATGGACCCTTTTGTCATCTGGAGCTGTTCTGAGCTGCAGTTGCAATGAGTCTGCTGTGCCTGGGATGGAAAGTCTTAAGACACCTCTTTTGACTAAGTGCAGACTTTTTTTTTCCTCCCCTTCCTCCGTACCCCCAGGGCTTTAAATGAGGCCCAATCTGAGTGGATTTTCATAGGAACAGGAAACGGGCATATCCTTTACACAAAGTCCCTCCTATGAAGCGTGAGAAGATTGCTGGGGTATTGTAACAATGCATTTTTCCCTGGCCTCTTTCTTGGAAACTGAATGAAATATTTAGGCTGAAATGACCAAAAAAAAAAAAAAAAAAAAA